CACAGAGAAGGTGTAGGGGAAAGGTGTCACAGAGAAGGTGCAGGGTACAGGTCTTACAGAGAAGGTGTATATAGAGAGGCGTTATAGAGAAGCACAAGCCTTTCACGACAGTACTCAGGAGGCTTAGACAAGGTTATGAATTCAAGGTCAGCCTAGGCTACATAGCAGGATCAAGAGAGTGTGTGTGTGTGTGTGTGTGTGTGTGTGTGTGTGTGTGTGTGTTAAAGAGGGAAAGAGAGAGTAGAAGAGAAGGAATTGTATTAATTAAACTACAGAGGTGAATGGTCCCTTAATTCAAGGATGAAGAAGAAAACTAGAAAGAGCTTTGCCTTGCCTTCTTTATAAAGAGTGAAGACTCCTTGCTTATCCGAGCTGAGATCCAGGGGTAGGTGAGAGCAGTCGGTGAATGCGATGGTCTCTCTGGTCTCTGTATTTACATGATACATTGCAATGGGGACCTCAATAATCTGACCAATTTCCACATCAGCTTGAAATGGTAACAGTTCCATTTTGTTCAGCTTCATGACATATATCTTGAGGAAAAGCAATTAACCTTTAGGAAAGTCTTAGAAGAGATATGTAAATACATGCATAATCACACGCTGCATGCATATGCACATATAATATATACATAAATTCACACATTTAGGTGTGGTTGCACAAATCTGATTCTAGCCCTGAGAAGCTCAGGCCAGTGGATAGAGTCAAGTGCAGGCTTGGTCATGTAGTGAGATCCTGTCTCAACAGCCACATGTATATTCTCTCAATACATTGTTACTTACAAAGTTTACTTTAGGTCCCATGTTCTTCCATTTCCTTTTTTTTTTTTTTTTTTTTGGTGGCGGTGCTAGGGGTTGAACCTAGATCCTTGTGCATAAGAGGAAAGCCTACTATGCCAAGCTAGGCCTCCAGTTAAAAACATATGATTATATATATTATAGATAAAATTATATAATTACATAAATTATGTATATGTAATATAACATGATTTTGATCTATTATATACAAATTATATAATAACTTAGGTTAGATAACACAAAGGTATTCTCTAACATATTATTTTGGGTTCTTTTTGAGACAGGGTTTCTCTGTGTAGCCCTGGCTGTCGTAGAATTCACTACGGCCTTGAACTCAGAGATTGCCCGCCTCTTCCTACCAAGCGCTGGGATTAAAGGCGTGCACCACCATGCCCAACTTCAGTTAATATATATTTTAATATAAACACATACACGTGCTTTAGGGTTTCTATTGCTGTGATAAACTCCATGACCAAAAGTGACTCGAGGAGAAAAGTCCACCATACACAGAAGTCAGCGCAGGAGCCTGGAGAAGGGAGCTGAGGCAGAGGCCATGGAGGAAAACAGGTTACTGGCTTGCTCTCATGGCTTCTCAGCTTGCTTTCCTACAGTGTCTAGGACCACCAGCGCAGATGCTAGAAGCCCAAATGCTATAACCACAATGGGCTGGGCCGTTCCACATCAACCATTAATTAAGAAAATGTACCACTGGCTTCCACAAAGACCCATATGGTCAGGGCAGTTTCTTAATTGTGGTTCCCTCTTCTAAATGACTCTAAGCCTATGCCAAGCTGCCAAAAATCTAACCAGGATAACAGAGAATCAGCCCTTCATATACATGAGTTATGCATCTACAGATTCAACTGACTAAAATTACTTGGGAAAAACACTGAAAATGTACTTTGTTTGGCTTGAGATAGGTTTTATGTCATCCAGGCTGGCCTTGAGTTAACTGTGTGGCAGAGATGGCTTGGATACCACAGCCTCTGTCCCTGAGTTCTGGGGATCACAGGTACACTGCACTTAGATGCACTTCTTCCCTTGTTGTGATTCCCTGAACAGTGACGGACAGCTGGACACAGTGGCCCTGGCCTGGGGTTTAAGCCCTTAAGAGGTGGATGCAAGAGAATTGCCATGAATTTGAAGCTATAGATAGAGGCCCTGTCAAAAAACAAAACAAAACAAAACAAAACAAAAATACCCAAGAACAAAAACACAACGCAGCATAACAATGCGGTGCTGTGGCAGTGAGAGATGGCGGTGAGAATCCCACGCAATGCTTCCTTTTCCTGTGTTCCCTATGTATGCTGCTGTCAGAACTAGAAACCTTCACACCATCTCTGTAGCTTCAGATCTTTTACTTGCCTTATCCAACTGCTCATTAAATCTTTAATCCTACAATCCCAGCATTTGGGCTGAGACAAGAGAATGGCCAAGAGTCTGAGGCCAGATTGAGCTACATAATGAGTTTGAGGCAAACTTTGGTCATAGAATAAGACCCTGTCTCAACTGATCCCTCTCCCCAAGTAAGACCTGTTGTGGAATATTATTGTAACTATTTAAGTGTGTTGTATTTGTTTAACTATCTAAAGATGTGTTGCATTTGTTTAATTATGTAAAGCTGTGTTGCTGTTTTACCTTGCCTGCCTAAGGCACCTGCTTGGCCTAATAAAAAGGTGCATGGCCAATATTGAGGGAGGATGTATAGGCAGGACTTCTGGGTAGGGAGAGTAAGTAGAAGGAATCTAGGCTTGAGAGAGACGGAGGGAGACAAGGGTGAGACGAAGATACCAGGGGTACGCCGCGGCCCAGCCAGCCCTGGAAGAGCAGGCAAGCAGGACAGACAGAATGAAAGAAAAGTAGAGAAGGCCTGAGGCGAAATGTAAATGACCAGAAACAGATTAAATTAAGTTATAACAGCTAGTGGGACAAACATAATCTAAAGGCTGAGCATTCATAATTAATAAGAAGTCTCTGTGTCTTTATTGGGAGCTGGTTGGTGGCCCAAAGAAATTTCCAACTTGGTGGCCCAAAGAAATTTCCAACTACAGGATCCTCTCAATCTGTCCACTTTTTGCTGTTTTAAAACAGGGTCTTGCCCAGGGGTGGTGGCACACACCTTTAACCCCAGCACTTGAGAGACAGAGGCAGGCGGGGCTCTGTGAGTTTGAGGCCAGCCTGGGCTACAGAGGCAGTTCCAGGATATCAATGCTGCACAGAGAAACCTGTCTCAAAAAACCAAAAAGAAAGCAGCATCTGGAATATGTGAATGAGCAACAGGAGTCCTGGTAAAAGCTATTCAAAGAGGCCACGTCCGGCTGTGGCCCTCTGGCTTTTATTTGCCTTTTTCTTCCAAAATCTTGTTCCTAATCATCACTAACTAGTCACACCTCATTAACTAGTCACACCCACAAGGCCCACAAGGATTTTTCTATCTACTAGGAGTAGGTTTTTTTTTTTTTTTTTTTTTTTTTTGGTTTTTGGAGATAGGGTTTCTCAGTAGCTATGAAGTGTCAGTCCTGGAACTCACTCTGTGAACCAAGATGGCCTCGAACTCACAGAGATCCATCTGCCTCTGCCTCCCAAGTGCTGTGCTATCACCACCCGGCAAAGAGAAGTTTTTAAAATTATTAATTAATTTTATTGATTGATTTTTTTGAGATGGGATCTCTCTGTTATGTGGCTCTGGCTGTCCTAAAACTCAGTACAAAGAACAGGTTGGCCTCAAACTGAGTTCTGGGATTAAAAGTGTGCACTACCACTGGGTGGTGGAACACATCTTTAATCCCAGCACTCAGGAGGCAGAGGAAGGCAGATCTCAGTGTGTTCAAGACCAGCCAGATCTACAGAGCAAATTCTATACAAAGAAACATCTCAAAAAACAAGCCAAAAAAGAAAAAAAAAGTAAAGTAAAGTAAAGTAAAAAAAGAAAAGAGAAAATAAAAAACAAAGAAATCTTCCTGCATAGATTTTAGTTCTTTGAGGTAGGAAGTGATGTCATGTTTTGGTGGGGGGCTATGGTACTTAGTACTTATTAGTACCTAGAGGCACTCATTAAATGATTATGACGTGATGACACACGTCAGATCACAGCTGGGTAGTGGTGGTGCATGCCTTTAATCCCAGCACTCGGGGACAGAGACAGGTGGATCTCCATGAGTTCGAGAAGCCTGGTCTACAAGAGCTAGTTCCAGGACAGCTAGGACTGTTATACAGAGAAATCCTATCTCAAAAAACAAACAAACAAACAATATCAAGTCACACAAGGAAAAGCATTATATGCCATACACTGGAGGAAATAGAAAAATGGTCATATAATTAGTCTAAGAAAAAAGTTCAGGCCTTGTTTTTTGTTTAAGACAGGGTCTTGGGGCTGGAGAAATGGTTCCAGAGGTTCTGAGCACTGACTGCTCTTCCAAAGGTCCTGAGTTCAATTCCCAGCAACCACATAGTGGCTAACAACCATCTGTGATGAGATCTGGTGCCCTCTTCTGGCCTGCAGGTGTACATGCAGAACACTGCATACATAATAAATAAAATCTTTTAAAAAATGACCACATTCCTAATCCTTCTGCCTTTAACTCCAAATTGGGGTGATGACAGGTATGTACTCCCAGACCTGGCAAGTATTTTCAGTCTTTCACAGGTAGTTTAACTCGCCAAAGTATGAGGCTAGTAATAAGGGTAACATGGAAGCCTCTGATGACTGTACAGGGCCAGCGAGGGGCTCAGATGGACGCCCGCGACACAGACACACCGCTGGTGGCTTGAGTTCCATTTCTGGTACTCAGGCCTTGTGGCTAATCTTGGCTGTCAACTTGATACACTCGGGAAGAGGGAACTTCAGTTGAAGAACGGCCTCTGAGTTGTCCCATGGGCTTGTCTGTGGAGCATTTCCTTGGTTGTCAATTGATGTGGAGGAGAAAAGCACTTCACAAAGCTGTCTTCCGACTTCCACACGCACTGCTGTGGCAAATGCACCCTCAACATGCATATGCACGTGCAATATTAAATATTAAAAGATTACACGTATCAAAGTGATTTTTTTAATGGTTAGGACTGGGAACATGAGCTCAATTGTAAAGAACTTGTCTTACAAAGTGGGGACCTGAGCTTGGATTCCCAAACTTTCCAGAAAAGCCAGACACAGTGCTGGGGAGAAAAAGCAGGGCTTTGCACAGGGTAGGTTGTGTTCTCTGCCACTGGGTTACGTCCCCAGCCCAAGACCAGCCCATTTTACAACTGAGAAAGCAAACACAGACACCAAACATATGGGTCTTTTGTTGTTGTTGTTTTGTTTTCTGAGACAGGGTTCTCTGTGTAACAGGTCTGGCTGTCCTGGAACTTGCTCTGTAGACCAGGCTGGCCTTGAACTCAGAGATCCATCTCCTGCTGAGTGCTGAAGGGACTGAAGGCGGCACCACCACCACCCGGCTAAATATAGGACTCTTTAGTAGGAATCAACTCATATTCCGAACTATTTAAGGAATATGAACTTTCAGGTTGAATTTCATAACATTTTAATTTACTTTAGCTCTATTTACTGAGATAGGGTTTCATGTAGTTGAAGATGGTGCTGGATTTCTGATTGTCCTGGCTTTACCTCCTTAGTGCTGGATTACAAGCACGGTCTCCATGCCCAGTTTTGTGGGTGCTAAGGACTGAACCTGGTTTTTTGTGCATGATAATCACTCTACCAGCTGAGCCATGACCTCAAGTCTTGAGTAAAATTTTCAAATAGTCAAGCTGGATTAGATGTAATTTTGAACATGTCCTGAAATTAAATTTAGAAATTGTAGCCCGTTGGTGGTGACTCACATATTTAATCCCAGCATTTGAAAGGCAGAGGCAGGTGGATCTCTGTGAATTCGAGGTCAGCCTGGTCTACAAAGCGAGTTCCAGGACAGTCAGAGCTACACAGAAAGACCCTGTCTCAAAAAAGAAAAGAAAGAAAAGAAAAAAATCCAAACAAACAAACAATTAGAAATCATGGGGCTGGAGAAACTGCTCAGCAGGTGAGAGTTCTCGCTGTTCGTGCGGAGGAGAGAGGTTCAGTTCCCACTCTGAGGAATCCACATGGCAATTCACAGCTGCCGGAGACTCCACTTCCATGGGATCCAGTGCCCTCCTATGACTTCCATGGATACTAGGCACAAAAGTGGTGCACAGATATATATGGAGGCAAAACACTCATACACGTAATTTATTTACAAAAAAAAAACCCAACCAAATTTAGACAGCGGTGTCCCAAAGATACTCGGTTTTCAAGAGACACTTACCTTAATTTCTCCATATCGAAAAGGATTTTGTACATCTCGTGCCAAAATGGTACTGTTCCCTCTCACCTGACCTGCGGTGACCACTCCTTTGGTGGTGACCATGGCCACCGTTTCGTTAGAAGAGGTCCACGTGAAGTTGCCACTACCTCCCTCCACCTGTGAAAAACCACAACCCATGTTGAACTCTTCTGGGAGGAAAGGGAAATCTAAGTGAAAATGTAGAACCTGCCTGGTGAAGTCAAGTTTAGAAACTAATAAAATGATGTAATAAACGATCTCTGCACATGTCAAGAGGCCGTGAGTCGGCCAGGAAGGAGGAAATGATGAGAAAAGGATTAAAGGGAGGAGAGGGTAAGGAGCTCTCCTGCCACACAAGGTCACAGGGGCATCAGGGAATGGGACAAAGCATCGTAAAACTCACAAGGAGATGGCAGATGGCCACACAGAAAGCATGGCAATTCTTAGGTTTGGTGGGGAGGTAAAAATCAACAATGAATCTGGGGCTGGGGTGCAGCCCGGCAGGCAGAGTGGAGCTCTGGGTTTGATCCCCGCACTGCATTGCCAGACTGTGCATCTCACGTGCTGCAGTCTGGAGAACCTGAGGTTACACGGTGTTCAAGGCTAGTCTGAACCACACGTCACAACTTTCTCAACAAAACAACCTACTAGGGAATCCCACTATTAGAGGATGTCATACCTGAACTTTGTAACGATTTGGTATTCCCAGAGGATAATGGGGAAATGCCAGAAAGCTGGGTGTAAGCTGGATGGGAAAATACACCTTCACTTCTTGCTGGTGACTGATTTCATACGTTTTAGGCTGAGTACTCTGCAGAAACAAGGAAAAAATGTCAAAATAGATCTCCTGAGACCCTTTCTTGTTTTATTTTTGTTTGTGACATGGTTTCTCTGTGTAATATCTCGGGCTGTCCGGGAACTTGCTTTGTAGACCAGGCTGGTCTCAAACTCACAGAGATCTGCCTGCCTCTGCCTCTCGAGTGCTGGGATTAAAGGCGTGCGCCACCAGCCTCTGCCCAGCTTGGAAAAGTTTCTTAGAGGAACTGTGTGCTATCTGCAGTGGAAGAACAGTCTGTAGAGGCATGCAGTACCGTGTGTGTGGCGTGACAGAGGAAGATGGCATGTCACAGGTGCTTTAAATCGCAGCAGCCCACCCTGCAGGGCTCCTAGGGATTGGCCGGCTGTTGAGACACCTACCTCCTGAGTGCTGGGAGTCAGGGTCGCATTTATCACCGCAACCCCATCTTTCAGGGCTTTTAACACATGGTAAGATCCATTGGAAGTACTTAGTTGCTCTTCAAAATATTCCTTCAGAAACTGGAACGTGATTTTGAGATTCTGAAACCAGTCCAACGGCAAAACAAATTTGAAGATGTATTTTTTTCCCCAAATACATTTCCCTAAAACCATTTTAAGCCAAGCCACAGATAAGACTGTAGCTATGCACTTAAGGGATGAAGACATAAGAACAGGGGTCGGGTGTGTGTGCTGGAAGGATGGCTCAGTCATTAAGAGCAGTTGTTGCTCTTGTAGAAGGCCCAATTCAGTTCTCAGCACCCACAGGGCAACTCACAACCACCTATAGGTCTAGTTCCGGGGATCCAACACATCTGGTCTCTGGGCACCTGCACACACATGTACATACCCACAAACACATAATTAAAATTAAATAAACAGAAGCTAGGCCGTGGTGGCACACACCTTTAGTCCTAGAGACAGAGGCAGGCGTGTCTCTGAGTTTGAAGCCACCTCCAGTCTACAGAGCAAGTTCCAGGACAGGCAAGGCTACACAGAGAAGTCCTGACTCAAAAAAAAAAAAAAAAAAGAAAGAAAGAAAGAAAAAGAAAAGCCAAAAAGTAAATAGATAAACAGAAGCTGGAGAGATGCTCAGTCCTGTGCTTTTCCAGAAGACCCCTGGTTCAGTTTCCAGTACCGACACGGCAGCTCTTAACCATGTAACTCTAGTTCCAGAGGATCCTATGCCCTATCCTGGCCTCTGTTCAGTATCAGGAATACATATATGCAGAAAACCACTTGTACACACAAAGTTTTTTCTCTGTGAAACAGCCATGGCTGTCCTGGAACTCACTCTTTGGATCAGGCAGACCTCAAACTCACAGAGATCCACCTGCCTCTGCCTCCTGAGTCCTGGGATTAAAGGCGTGCGCCACCACCACACCAAGCTATAATTAATTGATTCAAAAAAGAACAAAACTTTTGCTTTCCCTCGTGGGAAGTCTGTCAGAAAGGTGTGATTTAAGATGGTATTCATGATGCATAATGCCTAACTCTCAACCCTGTCAGTTCTGGGCAGGACGCAGAAGTACGATGTGCAGAGAGAGGCCTGTCCCCAGCTGTTACTGGGGTCTTCAACTCCTGCCTGTAACCCCGATCATATTATGACTTCCAGGTTAACATTCCCCCAAGGACAGCACTAGTGAATGGTAATAATAATAACCACAACTAATAACTTGCATTTACAAAGGTGAAGATTCAGAGCAAAGGAAGAAAGACTGCTTTCTCCCACTCAGACGGCCCACGCCAGGAGCTGTCCACAACGGACCTAAGAAAATAAGAGAGGATTGTGGTGTGGCTCAGTTGGGAAAGTGCTTATCTTGTGTACTTGAGGCCCTGGATTCGATGCCTAGAAGCACATAAAACTGGACATGGGCACACATCTGTAATCCTAGCACTCTCCTGAATAGATGCAGAAAGATCAGGAGTTCAAAATCATTGTCTTCTACGCAGCTAGCTGAAAGTCCAGGGTGGACTATGTGAGGTCCTGTCTCAGACAGGGAACGAAAACAACAAAAACAAATGAGACTCACGTCTGAAATATGAACCCTTGTGCTGCTTTTGTCAAACACATCAACTGTGATGATATACACCTGGCCCACCTCGAGACTCCATCGGCCGCCAGGATAAACGGTGAAACCTGCACGCAAAGCAAGAAACAGGAGACTGGGAAGAGGTCCGTGTCCTCCTGCCACGAGGTAACAACTACGGACTTTAAAACAAAACAAAACAGAAGATGCACCGCACGGTTACTCTCCTATCTACTGTTATAAACACCATGGCCAAGCATGGTTTGAATGAGATGTCCCCTCGACAAGTTTCAGGCATTTCTTGGTTCCATTCCTGACTGCTTGGGGAGGACTAGTAGGAGTGGCCTTATCGGAGGAAGCCTGTCACTGTGGGCAGGCTGAAGGTTCCAACAGTCTCCACCTTCTGCTTGTGGGCACAGCCATGAGTGCCCAGCTGCTGCTCCAGCGCACACCTGCCAGGTGCCATGCTCCTGCCATGACAACGATTGATTTCTGGCCATCTGAAAATGTCAGCCCCAAATAAATCCTTCCTCCCCTCAGGTGCCATGGCCATGGTCTTGTCACAGCAGCAGAGAAGTAATACACCGAAACCAAGCAGGGTGGGGCTCGCGTGTCACCCCAGCACTCAGAGGCAGACAGGTGGATCTCTGTGAGTTCAAGGCCAGCCTGGTCTTCAGAGCAGATTCCAGGACAGCCAGGGCTGCACAGAGAGACCTTGTCTTAGAAAAACAAAACAAAGCAAAAAACAAAAGAAAGAAAGAAGGAAAGAAAGGAAATGAATCAAAGTCAGGTTGAATTCAAAGTCTCAAATTCAAAGTCTGAGACTTTGGCAGTCCTTTTAAATTTAATGCATTCATTTAAATTACTCAACTCTCTGAAAGCCATTATCTAAAATCACCTAAATATCCAGGCTCCACGACACATATGGTAGCATTTGGGAGTCCAGATACAGAGCGCATGTGGACATCTTAATTTTGCTAAGGAAGTTATCTGAGCCAGTGTTGGGTACAAAAAGAAAGATGAGCCACTGAAGAAAAAAAGTAAATTGTACAAACAAAACTATACACACACACACACACACTTGTGTTTCATTTACTTTGGAAAGCCAAAACTTAAATATGAACACGTCTGAGAAAAGCCTGAACACAGCCCAACAAGATGGCAAATGGCCCAACAAGATGGCGGACGGCCCAACAAGATGGCGCAACAGTAGTATGCAGCTGCTGCTAAGCCTGAAGTTAAGCTTGATCCCCAGGACTCCCACAGCTGTTACCTGACTCCACACACACACACACACATACACACATGCATGCATAAATAAAAATGCAGGGGCTAGAGAGATGCTCAGCACTGGCTGCTCTGCAGAGGACCTGGGTTCAGGTGCTGGCATCTACAGCAATGCTGCAGTCCCAGATGTCTGATACTGTCATCTGGCCTCTTCAGGCACTGAGCATGCACATGTATGACACACACGCAGACAAAACATGCATATACACAGAATTAAATTTAAAGAGGACAGAATGGAAAGGTGGTCATGTTCTGTGGTTTTAAAATTTACTTAGCTACAGAACTATTTCTTCAAATAAATTCTCCCAGAGGAGCCCAGTATGGAATGCAGGAAAACCTGATCCCATTCTGGAGGAGACAAAGACATGGCCTGAAAAGACAAACAGTGGAGCTGGAATCGGGGTGAGACTTGCCACCCAGCAGCGTGCCTAGAGCTCTACAGCTCCAAAATCGCTATCGCTTGCAGCAAATATTCACTACCAAGATTTATTTCTTTGCCATCAAAAACACTTCTATGAGCTATAGAGATGGATGGATGTCTCTGTGGTTATTCTTGCAGGGGAGCTGGGTTTGATCACTAACATCCACATGGCGACTCACAACCATCTGTAACTCCAGTTCTAGGGGATCCAATGTCATTTCTGGTTTCCTCAGGCATCAGACACACACTTGGTACATTTACATATATGCAGGCAAAACATTTGTACATGCTGGGCAGTGGTGGCACATAATCCCAGTACTTAGGAGGCAGAGGCAGGCGGATCTCTGTGAATTCGAGGCCAGCCTGGGCTACAAAAGCTAGTACCAGGACAGGCACCAAAGCTACAGAGAAACCTTGTCTCAAAAAACAAACAAACAAAAAATTATACACATCATAAAATAAAATAAATACATCTAAAAGAAAATTTTGTTTTTCAAGACAGAGGTTGTCTGTGTAGCCTTGACTGTCCTGGAACTCACTCTGTAGACCAGGCTGGCCTTGAACCCAATGAGATCCACCTGCCTGGCATCCAGAGTGCTGGGATTAAAGACGTGCACCACCACTGCCCAGCTTCATCTAAAACATTTTAAAAAATACTTCTAGTTTACTTAGATATGCTACTAGTTAAATACAATTACTTTCTGGAAGAAACAGAGATTAAAGGCATGTGCCACTTGGCATCTGTCTTTTAGGCATATTTAAGTAGGTTTAGTGAGAAAGGCCTGTAAACCCAGCATTCAGCAGGTAGAGTAGAAGAATTGTAAATTCTTGGCTAGCTTGGGCTACTTAGTGAGTTATAGGCCAGCTTGGGATGCATAGCAAGACACTGTTTCGAAACAAACAAACACTACCAATTAAGCAAACAGAAATCAAAAAGGAAATTGTTTATGCACTCACCCTGATGATATACAAATATGCATATATATAAGTATACATACATGTACATGTGATTGTATGCCAATTGATAATAATTTTTACCTGTTCACTATAGAAAATCTAAAGACTGTATAAGCAACTGTCCAGACTTGGCTGGTTCTGATGATACTTGAATATAATAGTCATAAAATATACGCATTAGAGTGTAATTCAGAACTATAATGAGTGAGGAAACAACAGCCTGGCTCCTACAGTCACTCCTGTTGTGAGAACACGCACGGACATCTAGCTCACACACACACACACACACACACACACACACACACACACACACAGAGCTGTGAGAACACGCACGGCCATCTAGCTCACACACACACTGCTGTGAGAATACGCACGGACATCTAGCTCACACACACACACACACACACACAGCTGTGAGAACACGCACGGCCATCTAGCTCACACACGCACATTGCTCTCCTCCACGTACTCCATCAGCAAACTTGCTGCCATCGGCTCCCTACAGCTCCAACTTCCTCCTCTTCACCGTGCTGTCATGTGCAATTTCTCTTCTTTTAGGTTATCTCCGGCTGAGGATGTTGATCAGCCGTTAGACTTGCCCAGCAAGATGAAACCTTGGGATCCATTCCCAGCACCACCTAAACCCAAAGTGGTGGTGCCCACCTGCAGCTGCAGTGCTTGGGAGATGGGGAGGATAAAAACTCCTGGATATCACCTGCTACATCACAAGGCCAGCCTGGGCTACATGAGGCCTGTCTCTTCGTGTCTTTTTGTAATTTCTACCTGCTTTTCTTCTTTTCAAAACGGAGCTACTTTTACTGACAACGTGACCCAGACTTCGTACTACTAGTCTTTTATTTTTATTTATTTATTTTCTTATTTTAATTTTACGTTATGGGTGTCTGCATGTATAGTGTGTCTGTGTCCCGTGGGCAAGAAGTGTCTGAGGAGGCCAGAAGAGATGATCAGATCCCTTGAAACTGAAGTTATATCCACCATGTGAATACAGGAATCGAACCTGGGTCCTCTGAAAGAGCAGTCAGTGTTCTTAACCACTGAGCCATCCCTCTAGTTCCAGGTTTATTTATTTGTTTGTTTGACAGTCTTGCAATGTAACAGCCCAGGCTGGCTCAACAAATAGCAGTCCTTCTGCCCTGACCTCCGAGACACCAGGAGCACCGTGTTTGGCACCACAACTGGCTTAGGCTTTCAGCCATTTTTGGATTAGTCAGGAACTTGGTGTATATATATATACTTCTGCTAGGGAACCAGGGGCACTCCTGCCACTCAGATGGCGTCCAGTAAGCAAGCATTCTTCTGTAGGTATTACATTTTAGATACTTTAAGATGACTAAAAGCTGGCTGTGCTGACAAAGAAATACAATCCTAATATTAGAAAGTGAAATCATGTCTCAAAAAAGAAAATTGTGTGTGGGTGTGCGAGTGTGTGTGCAGGTGCCCTCAGAGCACCTGCAGGTACAGGTGTTCGTGAGCTGCCTGCCATGGGTGCTGAACTCAGGTTCTCTGGACCAGCAGCAAGTCATTTCTCCAGCCTTATCATCACTTTTTTAAAATTAATTAATTTATTTAATGTGCACTGGTGTTTTGTCTACATGCATGTCTGTGTGAGAGCGCTGGATTCCCTGGAACTGGACTTACAGACAGTTGTTAGCTGCCATGAGGGGGCTGGAATCGAACCCAGGTCCACTGAAAGGGCAACAAGAGCTCTTAGCCATCCCTTCAGCCCCACCCCCATAATCACTTTTAATAGGCTCTTTTACCAAGAACCATGCCTACTATGCTCAGAGAAGTTTAGATTGCCCACTAAAGTTGAACAAAAGGATACTTTTGTGGACAAAGACAAGGTTAGTTTGGCCCAGTTGGAGAGCAGTGACCGTGGCTGTTTTCTCATCCAGTAGAGCCACTTTCCCAGAAGGAGAACCTTTATTCGTACATCTGTTGTCTTGCAATTCCAATGTGTAATGTTCCAGGGGAAATTTCACCTCTGTAAGACATGAAAGACACATGTAACAGTCCAGGTCAGTGATGTCCACCGCAGTGTGAGGGAGACAGACACCTGTAACTGTCCAGTCAGGACAGTGATGTCCTAGACCTTAAACCCACAGCTGGATCCCTTTCTGGTCCCTTTTTCTTTTTCTTTTCTTTTCTTTTCTTTTCTTTTCTTTTCTTTTCTTTTCTTTTCTTTTCCTTTCCTTTCCTTTCCTTTCCTTTTTTCTTTCTTTCTTTCTTTCTTTCTTTCTTTCTTTCTTTCTTTCTTTTTCAAGAAAGGGTTTCTTTGTAGCTTTGAAGCCTGTCCTGGAACTATCTCTAGAAGACCAGGCTGGACTTGAACTCACAGATCCACCTGCGAATTAAAGGCAGTGCCACCACCGCCTGGGTTCTGGTCCCTTTTTCACAAGGATGAATCTGCACGGCCACTGGCAAGAAGGGACGCTCTGACCTAACTGGTAACTTATACACTTGAAAACTAGTGAGCCACTGAGTGTGTGGCTGCACCCTTGTAATCCCAGCACCTAGAAAGAGAGGCCAGGAGATCAGGAGTTCAAGGCTAGCCTCAGTTACCTGGGGAGTTTGAGGTCACCCTGAGTTTAGCTGAGATACTGTCTCAAATGACAGCAACAGCTGGGCATGGTAATGCACACCTTTCATCCAAGTATACAGGAGGGAGGCAGGAGGATCTCTGTGAGCTCAAGGCCAGCCTGGTCTACAGAGGGAGTTCCAGCACAGTCAGGGCTGTGTAAAGAGACCCTACTGCTAAAAAAGAAATAAACAAACAAGGCAGTATGGGGGCTAAGGAGATGACTCAGTGGTTGAAGGTGTGCACTGCTCCTCCAGAGGATCGGGGTTCAGGACACATCAAGTAGCATCCACATCAAGTAGCTCATGACAACCTGTACTACATACATCTCCAGGGGATCTATTGCCCTCTTCAGGACTCTGTGTGCACCTACACTCACATGCACACATAACCACACACAGATACATAGATATATACATAATTAAGATTAAAATACATCTTTGCCAAAATATTAACAGCAAAGCAAACAAACCTGGTGACCTAGGCAGATCACTACTAAGCATGCAAAGGACTAAGTTAGCAGAGATCAGATAGCTTTTTTTTTTCTTTTTCTTTTTTTTTTTCTTTTCGAGACAGGATATCTCTGCATAACCGTCCTGGAACTTGCTTCGAAGACCAAGCTGGCCTCGAATTCACAGAGATCCGCCTGCCTCTGCTTCCCGAGTGCTGGGATTAAAGGTGTGCTCACCACTGCCCAGCCAGATAAGTTTTTTGCACTTCCTCTATCAGCTGAAAATTCTGGGCTGTCACCTTAACAGTGGGTGCAAACGCAGAAGCTAAGTGTCCTAACTAAAGCTAAATTATGTCAATAAGCTCTTTGGAATATGCAGACTTCAGGTACTTAGAAGTATTTTCCCACAACATCTGACACGCAAAGAAGTGGTTTGTGCACTGCCTCCTTCAGTATCACCAGGAAGAGGCATGAGTCCTAGGGAAAGCCAAGCCGTCTTACCTGTCATTCTTCCCTGAACCATTTTTGCAACCTGGTATTTAATGCAGGCTCCTACTAAGAGATACGTATCATGAGATGGCATAAGGAATATGTTCTCCAGCACGAGCAGACGGACCAAGGCTGCCGACACTTTCTGAAAGAGGAAGAAGAAATTTCCATAGGCAAAAGTCACTAAACTCCCACCCTTCTTCAGGGCCTACTTTTTAAAAACGACTTATTTGTATTTTATATGCATTGGTGTTTTGCCTGCATGTCCATGTGAGGGTGTCGGATCCTCTGGAACTGGAACTACAGACAGTTGTGAGCTGCCATGTGGGTGCTGGGAACCCGGGACCTCTGGAAGAATAGCAGTGCTCTTAGCCACTGAGCTATGTCTCCAGCCCCAAAGCTTACTTTTAAAAAGCTAAAAAGTAGTTTTTGCACTTGTTTGTTTTTACATGTGTGGAAATGTGGCTGTCACAGGGCAACCTGCAGAAATCAGTTTTCTCCTCCACCACATGGGTACTCAGGATCAAACACGGGTTGTTAGGCTTGGCAGCCAAGTGTTCTTACCCACTGAGAAATCTCATCTGTCCCCCTTTTTTTTATAAGTTTAAAAAATATATAAAGAGCAAAAAAAATTCCTAATAATCACAAATCATTTCAGGTTAACCTGAAACCATCTAACAGAGATGCAGTCTACTAATCCAGAGCTCTCCGGCTCTAGCTCCCGCTCCCTCTCTGTCTGTCTGTCTGTCTGTCTCTCCCTCTCTTCAGTCCCCCCCCCACCCCGCTGACAGGCCCTGCTGTGCAGGTTAAGGCAAAAGAGAGGCAGGTGCAAAAAGCAAATGCAACATCCCCTCACCCCCTTTTCTTTCTTAAACAGTTTATGGTTTATTTTAACCAAGCAGCGGTGCACACCTTTAATCCCAGCACTCCAGAGGCAGAGGCAGGGGGATCTCTGAGTTTGAGGCTAGCCTCACGTACAGAATGAGTTCCAAGGCAGTCAGGGCTACACAGAGAAATCCTGTCTGGGAGGGGGTGAATTTTAATGTGCATGGGCATTTTACTTGCATTTATGTCTGTGAACTATGTGTGTGCCTGAGTCCTTTGGAGGTGAGAAAAGGGTGTTGGATTCCCTGAGAATGAGATTGTAGATGGTTGTAAGCTGCCATGTGGGTGCTGGGAATTGAACTGGGTCCTTTGGAAGAGTAGCTAATGCTTTAACTGCTGAGCCAGCTCTCCAGCCCCGATTCTCATTAAAAGCCAGCATTATTCTAACCCAGCATCAGTTTATTGGGTTGTTTAGTAGGATGCCCACACAGTTGTTCTTTGGTCATGTAAATTAAATGCTTATCTAAGTTAAATTTATATATATATATATATATATATATATATATATATATAGTGTTTTGAGACAGGGCTTCTCTGTCCTGGAACTTGCTCTGTAGGCCAGGCCTGGAACTCACAGAGATCCGCCTGCCTCTGCCTCCTGAATGCTGAGCTTAAAGGCGTGTGCCACCACTGCCCAGCTGTTAGTTATAATTTATAAATACATTACAACAGGAAGCTGGGTATGATGCTACAAGGCTATAATTCCACTATTTAAGATCCTGAGATAGGAGGATATTATTTTAAGATGTGTTCATTTGTTTCTGCTGTGGAACATTTGTTTAATGATGCAAAGATGAGGTGCATTATTTTAGGTTGCATTTGTTTAACTCTGAAGCTGTGTTACTTGGCCTGTCTAAACACCTGACTGATCTAATAAAGAGCTGAACAGTCAATAGGTAGGCAGGAGAGAGGATAGGCAGGGTTGATAGGCAGAGAAAATAAATAGGAGGAGCAATCTAGGCTGCTGGGCAATATGATTTTAAGCTGTGTGACTTTTGTTTATGCTGCATTTGTTTGACTTGGTGAAGCTGTGATTCTCCGCCTGTCTAAAACAGCTGAGGGTCCTAATAAAGAGCTGACCGGCCACTGGCAAGGCAGGAGCAAGGATAGGCGGGGCTGGCAGACAGAGAGGATAAGCAGGAGGAAAAACAAGGAAGAGGAGGAGCAAGGAGAGAACAAGGGCAAGAGGCCAGTCAGCTAGGGGGTGAGAGTGAAAGGAAAACAGAAGTAAGAAAAGGAAAATGCACAGAGGCAAAAGGTAGCTGGGATAATGTAAGAGTAAGCTTCGTGTGTGATTTATTCGGGAGCTATGTAGAGGTCCCTGCCAAAAGAGTGAGACATCACACTATACTAGGCTCTAAAGAAAAGAAGAGAAAGAGAACGCTAGGCAGGGCCAGTCACCCAACCACACAACCAGCCAGAGTATGAAGGGAAGAAAGATGTATAGAACAAAGAAAGGTAAAAATCCCAGAGACAAAAGGTAGATGGGAGCTGGGCCGTGGTGGCACACACTTTTAATCCCGGCACTCGGGAGGCAGAGGCAGAAGGATTTCTGAGTTTGAGGCCAACCTGGCCTACAGAGTGAGTTCCAGGACAGTCTACACAGAGAAACCCTGTCTCGAAAAAGAAAAGAAAAGAAAAGCTAGATGGGGTGACTTAAGAAAAGCTGGCTAGAAACAGTTAAGCTAAGGTCAAGCATTCATAGGTAAGACTAAGTCTCCATGTATTTATTTGGGAGCTGAGTGGCAGGCCCACAAAGAGTTAAAAAAAAAATTCCAGCTACATTCTCCTTTCCACACTCTCCTCCAATCGTGGTTTCTGTCTCATCACAGGCTATAGAAATGGATTGATTCTCCAGCTGATTGGAGACTAAAACCAATTAGTGACCAAAACAATTATTTTTCCTATACTGAAAAATAAAAGGGGACTGGATTGATGTCCAGTGGTTAAGAGCACTAGTCGCTCATGCAGAGGACCTGGGTTCAATTCCCAGAATCCTCTGTAACTCCAGTCCCTGGTATCTTCCTGCTCCCTCTTTCGGCTTTCAAGAACATCAGGCACACATGTGGTGCACACACATGTGCAGGCAAACACCCATAACTTTAAAGACATTTTAAAATAATTTTAAAAATTTAAATAACAAAAGCTTTGGACTGGGCATAGTAGTGCACACCTTTTTAAAAATTTTTTTATACACACTGGTTTGCCTGTATGAGGATGTTGAATCCTTTGCAACAGGAGCTGCAGACAGTTGTAGCTGCCATGTGGGTGCCAAGAACTGAACCCGGGTCCTCTGGAAGAGCAGCCAGTGCTCCTAACCACTGAGCCATTTCTCCAACCCTGGTAGTGCACACCTTTAATCCCAGTACTCGGGAGGCAAAGCTAAAGGGTCTGTAACCTGGAGACCAGCTTGGTCTACACAGTGAGCTTTAGGCCGTCCAGGGCATCATAAAAAAGGTAGATATTGAAAAGCCATTGACAATGACACTGGGACTTGCTTCCTCTGCATATACTGGATTTTTGGGATCCAGTCTGTTTGGATGCTCACCTTCCTGGACCTGGAGGGAGGGGGGAGGAACTTGAACTTCCCACAGGGCAGGAAACCCTGACTGCTCTTAGGGATGGAGAGGGAGGAGGAGAGGGAGTGGGGGGAGTGGGAGGGTGTTGGGAGGAGGGGCGGAAATGGAAACTTTTATAAATTAATAAACTTTTATAAATTAAAAAAAAAGGTAGATATTTTATTTTATTATTTTTTTGTTTTTGTTTTTTGAGACAGGGTTTCTCTGTGTAGCTTTGGAACCTGTCCTGGAACTCTCTTTGTAGACCAGGCTGGCCTCAAACTCACAGAGATCTGCCTCTGCCTCCTGGAGTGCTGGGATCAAGGCGTGGAGCAGTTAGCTATTTTTAACGGAGAATGTCAGTGTATGGGGCAGCTCAGTGGTGAAACACTGCCTACCATGTAGAAGGCAAGGATTTGACCCTCAGCATCAGTCACACAGTCACACTGTGTAGCCCTGGCTGGCCTAGAATTCAGTCTGTAGACCAGACTGGGCTCAAGCTCATAGAGATCCCGGCTTTGTCCTGAGCGCTGGGATTAAAGGGGTGTGACACCACAGGAGGTGTGAAAGGGCTTTTTCAAATAAATGATGCCTATTGGCCCAGATAATAGCGAGTCAGCAGTGTCTATTCCGCACGGGGAGACTTGGGAAGGCCGTCTCTAGCGCAGCTGTTCACCTTGTAGAATGGCTCATAAATTCGGACTTTCACCACAGCAGCTCCCGTTCTCATCCCAGACACCAAAACCACGTCTCCTTGTCGCTCCTCTTTTTCCATCTCAATGATGTAGTCAGGGGGAGAATATTCTGCTTCCGAGAATTTCAGGATCCTAGATACAAAGTAAGATTTGTCTCTAGTAGGAATAATAGACTTCTAAACTTTAGTTTCTATGAAATCTGTTCATGTAAACAATTCTAAAATACCTTTGCTTGCTTGTCGGCTTTTTTAAACAGTGTAACCCAGGCTGGCCTCTAACTTGGATTTGAAACAGTGTAACCCAGGCTGGCCTCGAACTTAGATTTGCTATATAGCAGAGGCTCACCCCGAACGACTACTACTTTCTTTTTTAGACAGATTTTCTCTGTGCAGCCCTGGCTGTCCTGGAACTTGATCTATAGACCAGGCTGGCCTCAAACTCAGAGATTCACCTGCCTTTGCCTCCTGAGTGGTAAAATGAAAAGTGTGTGCCACTACTGCCCAGCTCACCCTGAACTTCCAATCCCCCTGCTTCAGCACCTCCACCCCCAACTCCCAGTATTAGGGTTATAGTTCTGAGACACTGGGCCTGATTTGAGTTTTGACTTTCTGATTCCCAGAAGGACTAGCCTATGGTTAAGACTGCTATCACACTAGAATTTAGGCTGTCTGGTCTGTTCTTTGGTACTGGTGTTGTTGCTGTTTTAATTTTTCTTAAGGTGTCCCCACTGTGTAGCCCTGGCTGGTCTGGAACTCACTGTGTAAACCAAGTTAGTTTTGAGCTCACAGAGATCAGCTTGCCTCTGCCTTCTGAATGCTGGGACTAAAGGTGCTTGCTAAACCAATGGGCTAATAATCTCACTCAGTTTCAGCATGTGCCAACAGCTTGAGCTCACGGATTTCCCAACAGAGGCTCAAAGTAACTCTCACGTAGGTTCCCACATTTATTCCCTCTGTCTTTCTACCAAAGGTATTTGCCCTAGTGAATGTATCTGTTTAAAAAATTCCAGACAGTAGGATTATCAAAGTCCACACAGACGGCTGCTGTCCAGAGGTTTCACGGGGACACATCTTCAGGGCCAGGTGGTTTATGTTGGCCTTCAGCTTTACCTAATTTTGCTAAACAACTCCTCTCTTGCTGACTCGTTATCCTGGGCGATGCTCCACTCAAACACCATGCCTGCCAAAGTGCTGAACGTGTTCCCTGCAGAGCAAACCAAAAGCAGGCGAGACAGAGTCACACATTCCAAAACATTTCAGTGATGAATCAGCTGAAACACACACATGAAGACCCTTACAAGACAACGTGAGTGTGGCTTCCAACAGGCTGGCACTTAATTATTTATTTAGGTTTTTGAGACAGGGTTCTCTGTGTAGCCCTGGCTGTCCTGGAACTAGCTGTGTAGACCCGGCTGGCCTCAAACTCACAGACCCACCTGCCTCTGCCCACTGAGTGTTGGAATAAAGGTGTGCGCCCCCACGGCCCGGCTCCAACAGGCTTTCTAAAGTAGAATGGACCCATGTAGACTCACTGCCAGCTGCAGGCATATTGAACCCTGGTTCCTTCAAAACAAGTTGTCATAAAACTAGATTCTAAAAGTTATTTTTTCATGTCTTAAAAATTAGTCCAGCAGTCTTGGGCTAATGAGGTGGTGGGAAGGCAACTCACAGTGGGAGCCTGAGCTCCATCTAGTAAAGATGGAAGGAAAGGGCTGTCCCCTGACCTCCACATGCATGCCAGAGCATACATGCACGCCATAGAGTACATGCATGCCTTAGCATACATGTGCATATGTGCACTCACACAGACAATACAGTAAAAGAAATTTTAAAACCTGTTTACTAAATAATTTACAAGTATAGCAGTGATAACTTTTTAAATATCGTTTTACAACCTCAGTATAGCACATTTAAGGCAAATTATCAGGTGGTGGTGGCACAGGCATTTAATCTCAGCACTCAGGAAGCAGTGGTGGGTTGATCTCTGTGCATTGGAGGACAGCCTGGTCTATATAGTGAGTTCTAGGACAGCCAGAGCTACACAGTGAGACCCTGTCTTAAAAAAACAAAACAAAAACCAAAAAGGACCTGAGTTTGAGCCCAGGACCCATGTGATAGAAGGAGAGAACTGGCTTCCACCAATCATACTATGACTTCTACATGTCTGTAGGGTGTGCAGGCCCCACCCCCATATACTAATTTTTTTCATTTTATTTATTTTTATTTCATGTGCATTGGTATTTTTGCCTGCATGTATATCTGTATGAGGGTGCTGGATCCCCTGGAACTGGAGTTACAGACAATTGTGGGCTGTCATGTGGGTGCTGGGAATTGAACCCAAGTCTTCTGAAAGAACCCCTAGCCCCAACCAATTTTTTTTTGGTTTTTCGAGACAGGGTTTCACTGTAGCTTTGGAGTCTGTCCTGGAACTAGCTCTTGTAGACCAGGCTGGCCTCCAATTCAAAGAGATCTGCCTACCTCTGCCTCCCGAATGCTGGGATTAAAGGTGTGTGTCACCACTGCCCAGCCTGATTAATTTCTTTTAAAGTCCAGAAATAACAAGAAATAATAGCAGTAGTTTTGTTGTTTTTGTTTTTTTGCAAGAAAGCAGCTAATACATTGAACTACGTTCCGCACTGCCAACCTTCCTGCATGTGAGAAATGAGAAATGAGAAAACAGGTCACATTCACAATCTGCTAGCAGTTTCCGAGCTCCTGCTTTAGGCCCCCTTTGCTTCGGCCTCCTCTGGCCCCGTACCTTGAGCATCCAGAGCCCTCACCATCAGCTCCAGGGGCGCGTCGTCCACATACAGCTCCCGGGTGCGAGATACGATTTCTATGCTGTTTATAACATCGACCTTAACATCACAGCGCAGTTCATGGTCAGTCACTGCAAGGGACAGAGAGCTGACTACTTAAGGAAATTTGTCACCAGTTTATTAAATGTCTCAAATACTCAGAGTTTAAAGGTTATACAAGGCCAGCAGCCAGAGCTATGTAGAGAGACTGTCTCAAAAAGTCAAAAAGAGGAACCTCTGTTTCACGACAAGGCTGTGTGGGGAAATGTCCTGCCGAGCCCGAGAATGAGAGAACTGAATTTTTTTTAATTTTAGATTTTATTTTATGTGGCTAGGTATTTTGGCTGCATGTAAGTCTATGTACTATGTTCATGCAGTGCCTCAGGAGGTTTTGGATCCCCTGGAATTGGAGTGCAGGTAGCTGCTCTTCCAGAGGTCCTGAGTTCAATTCCCAGCAACCACATGATGATTTCCAATTGTCTCTAATGAGATCTAGTGCCCTCTTCTGGCATGCAAGCACACATGCAGGCAGAAAGACAGTATATATAATAAATAAATATATATTAGAGAGAGAGAGAGAGATGCTCCTCCGCTAAGAGCTGTGTGTCAGGCCCATCCCTGAATTCCTGCAGAATTATGTGCTAATGTTTCTTGTATGCCAAGTTCCTAACCAATCCAAAAAGACCTGAAAGATATACTGGTTGCAGTGACTGACACCTAGAATCCTGGTAGCTTAGAGGCTTGGGCAGGAAGATTGCTGCCCGTTCAACCAGCCTGAGCTGCTATACAGCAAGGCCCTGTCCCAGAAAATAAAACCCAGAGTGTGTGTCACCGAGGGACCTATTTTACTCCTTGTCTTTTTTTTCTTCGACACATGATGTGGTCCATTTAATGCAGCAGTGATTTCTTTTTCTTTTGCAACAAAAGTTGGTGGTGAGAGTTCTTTAAAACATATATCTAAATAACTTTACATTTACATATAACATCGTAGAAAAAAAGCATAGAACTCAATTCTACATACCTCAGAACCCCAAGCACACATTACAAAACAGAATAACACATTATTAAAAGAGACAAGGACTCCAGAAATTTTGCCTGTTGGTTTGTTAACAGGGAGGGGATGCCACGGGTGGCTCACATTTTGGGTTGAGGAGGGCTCTGTATTATCACTTTTGTATTTGTCAAAACTAATATATAAAGCTAATATATATATATATGTATGTATGTATGTATGTATATTAGTTTTGAAGGAAGCCAGACTTTGAAGCTCCCGTATAGTTCCTGATTTTCACAAGAGTTCCTTCTGAGCTCAAGCTCCCGTACCAATGCCTGGGTCAGATCCTGGTCCTGGGAGAGAGAGGGAGAAGAGTCAAGATTGTGAAAAGATGGCGCAGCAGGCTTTAGGCAGAATGTACCAGCTAAGGTGGGCTCTTGGAAGTGACAGTTCACAACGGTGTGTGGACTACCTGAATGGTAAGGGGGAGGGGCAGCAATGGCTTCTTTCCTGAGGGGCTCAAGCCTACACAGTTGTCTCCCTTGTTTGGATTGGAATCATAACGTAGAAACATAACATAGAAAACTGAACCCCTAGTGGCACTGAAGAAGCAGGGAAGACAGACCACGCAGACCTTCCCACAAGGTGCCGGCTGGAGGGGACTTAGGAACGAGCAGAGGGAGCAAGAGTGACGCTGGTGGGGAAATCAAGGCCACTGAGCTGAGATCTAGAGAGGTCTGGAGCTGAAAACGAACCTGACACGCTGCAGGGATCAAAGGGAGCAGCTCCACTTATTAGACATCTTATCCGCACACCTTTAATCCCAGCACTTGAGAGGCAGAGGCAGGCAGATCTCTGAGTTCGAGGCCAGCCTGGTCTACAGAGTTCCCAGGACAGCCAGGGTTACACAGAGAAACCCTGCTTCAAAAAGACCAAAAACCAAGCCTAAACCAAACCCAAACCAAAAAACTCCCCCGCCCCCGAGAAAGACATCTTATAAAGGCAATGAGTCATTGCAGTGTTTCTAGTAGAAGGACTGTGACTTAGCACACGCACGTGGGACAGTGGGCAAGTGCAGCGAGGTCTGCCAGGAGGATTTGCTAAGAGGCACAGGGATGGACTAAGGGGACCGCAGCAGATGCAGAATAGTTATGAAATTGAGATTCCTTTTGGGGTGTGAAGCATCTGAAGGGAAGAGATGCCAGCCTCATGGGTAGAGGGTTTGAGGATGGGTAGAGCTGAGAAGCAATGTTTGATATTCCTTGTCTTTTTAAAAAATATTTATTTATTTTATTATGTATACAATATTCTGTCTGTGTGTCTGCCTGCAGGCCAGAAGAAGGCATCAGATCTCATTTCAGATGGTTGTCAGCCACCATGTGGTTGCTGGGAATTGAACTCAGGACCTTTGGAAGAGCAGGCAATGCTTTTAACCACTGAGCCATCTCTACAGCCCCCTATTCCTTGTCTTTTTAAGTGGATTTTTTGTTTGTTTGTTTGTTTTCGAGACAGGGTTGCCTCCTGAGTGCTGGGATTAAAGGTGTGCGCCACCACTGCCCGGTTTAAGTGGAATATTTAAAAATATTTTAGAAAATGAGGGTAATAGGTTTTTGGTTGGGTTTGTTTGTTTGTTTGTTTTTTGAGACAGGGTTTCCCAGTAGCTATGGAGCCTGTCCTGGAACTCGCTCTGTAGACCAGGCTGGCCTCAAACTCACAGAGATCCGCCTGTCTCTGCCTCCCGAGTGCTGGGATTAAAGGTGTGACCACCACCGCCCAGCGGTTGTTTTTTTTAATTTATTTATTTAGATAAGTAAAATGGAGGTACTGTATGGGAACTGTATTGATGAGCCTCTAATCTGTGTGTAGTGGTCAGAGGACAACTTGAGAGTGCAGGTTCCTTCCACATGTGGAGGCCTGAGATCAAACTCAAGCTGTCAGGCTTGGCAGCAAACACCTCCACCCACTGAGCCACCTGACCAGCCCTCCGGGGTTTGTCTGTTTGTTGTTCCCACCTCTTTAGACTCTGAACTCCGATTTTTGTTTTGTTTTTAGTTGCTTTATTTCCTTAAGACAGGGTCTCGACCCTGGGCGGTGGTTGCATAGGCCTTTAATCCCAGCACTCAAGAGGCAGAGGCAGGAGGATTTCTATGAGTTCAAGGCCAGCCTGGTCTACAAGAGCTAGTTCCATGTCAGGCTCTAAAACAACACAGAGAAACCTTGTCTTGAAAAACAAAACAAAACAGAACAAATAAAAGACAGAGTCTCATTGCGCAGCCCTGGCTGGCTGGGAATTCAAAGAGACCCTTGTGTGTGTTTATGATCCTCCTGTCTCTGTTTACTGAGTGCTGGGATTACAGGCCCATGATGCCATGCACGGTAACAGATTTTTACTTCAGAAAACACTGTCTTTTTTTACACAAGAGACGTTAAGAACTGAATTTAACTGTAACTCAAGCACCCAGGGAAGTAGACCTCAAGTTAAAGGACACCCTGAGTTACACACACACAATAAATCCTAGGCACCCCGGTAAAATAAACTAAGACCCCAGTGCAAAAAAAAAAATTGAATTTGCCATATTGAAACTACTTTATGTGTTTGGGTGTTGCCTGTATATATGCTTTGTGCCGTGGGCAAGCATTACCCTTGGAGGCCAAAAAGGGACAAAGGCCCCTGGAACTGGAGTTATGAAAGGTTCTGAAGTGCCCTGTGAGTGCTGTGAATTGAATCTTGAGCCTCCGAAAGAGCAGCCAATGCTCTGGCTTCTTAGCTGTCTCTCCACCCCTAAAATAGCTCTTCATGTGGACGGGGCTGGACAAACAAGAGGACACACAAAAGATGATGAAGGTCAGGCTTTGACGAAAACTATTCCCTATGTGTGGACATGTGTGTCATAGCAGGCGTGTAGATGTTGGTGGACAACTCTGTGACTCGGGTCTCTCCTTCCACCTTTACATGGGTTCTAGAGATGGAACTTAGTCATCAGGCTTGGTGACGAGTGCCTTTACTCACTGAGCCATCTCACCAGCCCAGGTCTGTCTTTCTGACAGCAAAGTTACAAATAAGCAAAGGAGAGATGTCTAGAATGAGCCCAGTCTGGAGCTGAAGCTATCAGCATGAGTTCATATGCATTTTAATCATATATGCAGCTAGACACATACAGAAATAAATACAGAGACATGTGTACACTCAGGCTGGCATGTGCACATTACTTTCTTAGCTCTGTCTTATAAGAGAACCTGGAAACTGGGACACTCCCTTAGCAACAAGCACACTAGCATCTAGAACTTGCTGTCTAAATATAACTCTGGAGCTCAAAAGCAAGGAAGTACTGTGCTAGGAATATAGCTTAGTTGCTAAAGTTTTGACTAGCATGAAAGAAGCCGGGGGCTTGATCTCCAGCACTGCATAAACACAGCCCAGTGGTGCACACTTGGAATCCTAGGGCTCGGGAGGTGGAGGCAAAAGGACCAGAAGTTCAAGGTCAAGCTTAGCTATGAAGTTCAAGGTCAAGCTTAGCTATGTAGTAAACCAGAGGCCAGAAGTGGCTATATGAGACCTTATCTTTAAAAAAGGGGGTGGGGCAGGGAGTTCCATAAAGGAAATACCAAAAATAAGGGTATATTCAAAGGACACAGGAGCCAAACTGCAGGACACCACAAGTAGAAAATATGAATTCCCACAGTATTAGTGTTATTCCTTTTGATCTCTGGTCCCTTTAAGGGGCAAGCCACGCCCACTCCCAGAGACTTCTGACCTCTCGTTGCCATCTTTCTTTCTTTCTGTTTCCTCTCTTGGCGTGTGCACACATGTTTTTGTCTTTCTCTCTCCCTTTTCCTATTTCTGTCTTTCTCTTTTTAAGTAATAAATGTTTAGCCTTATGTCTGTTTACTATGTCCTGTAAGCCTTTTATACGCCTCTCCACCGGCCTGCTTGGGTGACTCTCCCAGCGGGGAATCTGCACCGTTCTAGCCATCTCTGCCTGGACTAGCGGCTGCGGTCATGCCAGCATTATTTTTTAAGGAATATTAATTAGTTTTCTTTCCAAGGCTCTGACAAAGCACCAAGACCAAAAGTAACTAAAGGGCAGGAAAGACTTT